TTATCCATACCCGGAGAGGTACACGGTGCCAAAGTTCATCAAATTCAATGGCAAGCAAGGAAATGCTCGAGAACATGTTGTGCGGTTCATCGAGACTTAGGGTATTCATGGTTCAAACCACGTCCTCCGGCTGAGAGAATTCTCTAAGTCCCTCACTGACCGAGCATATAGTTGGTATGTTAATTTGGCCCCAAACTCTATCCGAAGTTGGGAGGAAATGGTTAACAAATTCCACTCCAAGTTCTTTCAAGTAGCGGAGAAGGTGACCACACTAACATTGTGTAAAAAAAGCAACGAGAAAGTGAGGACATCCTTGACTACGTCAAAAGGTTTCAGGGCAAGGCTGTGGATTGCCATAAAACAGTGGAGGAGAGTTATCTAGTTCAAATCTATCTAGAGGGGGCATTGAACAGGTACAAAATGTTTCTAGTTAATCGCAAGCTATCCACTTTCTCGGCACTAATAGAAGTAGCTTGGAACATTAGCACTCCTCAGGCTCAGGAGTCTGGATTTAAGGCCAGTTACAAGACTAGCTTCAAATTATCTCGTGGACTTATTGTTATTGCTGCCTTTGCCCCAGATACCCGAAAGTCACAAGGAGGGGGTCATAGTGGCCAGAAGAGGAAGCAATATAGTGGTGAAAAGGGCAATGTTTCTTATCCATGTGGAATCAAGGAGATAAAAGCTCTAGTTAAGGAATGGGTGGCCAACTGAGAGCTAAAATTGCCTTATGTTGAAGAAATTCCATCAAAGAAGAACCGCGAGAGCCCCGAGTTTTATGTCTATCATCATACATTGAAACATCCGACGTAGAATTGTTTTACTCTCAGGAAAATCTTCAGAGATAAAGTCGAGGCAGATGAATTGAGGTTCAAAAAGCAAGGGACTTAAGACATTATCCTCAGCACTGAGACAATGGCAAGAACGTTGCTATGATAGCTTATAAAGTCCTGATGATTGAGGCTATCGCCAATCTCGATGACGATGATTGTTATCTGGACGACATCTTTGAGCCTGAGGGTGAGCAAGTTTACTATGAAAGTGCTCTCGATCTAGAGGGCAGAACCTTTTTGACTCATATCGAAGGTCCTTTCTATCCAGAAGGAGGAGAAGAGTACTACGAAAGATGAGGACACCATGTTTATATGGCATCTTATTTTGAAGAGACCAAGGAGATGGTTAACTATGAGCCTCCAAGAGTAGAGAAAAATCCAGATCACTATGCCAAAACCCTGCAAGACTGCGTAAAGTTCAAGCAATTCTTCGACCAGCTTGGACTTTCCAGGGAGGCAAGAACAGAAATCACCAAGGCTATCATCAATATAGCCGAGGCACACCATAAGGAATGCATGTTGACTGAGGGATCTATCCCGAGGAAGGCAAAAGAGCAATCTAGTGCCATTACTTTCTCTGAGACTGATCAAAAGTATCCCTTTTTCTCACAACTGCCCGCTTTATATGACTGCTTTTATTAACGGGGTTGAGTTCAAAAGGGCCTTTCTAGACAGTAGAGCCTCTATCAACATTATGACTCGCACTACTCTAAAGAAGGCCGGAATCTCTGAAGAGCACATTGTGAAATAGCCGATAGTTATCACCGGCTTCGGTGAAGAAAGAAGAGTTACTATAGGATGCGTAACAGTTGATTTAGTCGTCAGAGAGATTCACTCGGCCACCAAGTTCCATATTATCGATTCCGAGGCAAATTATCACATCATTCTAGGGAGGACCTGGATACATAGATATGGGGTTGTACCGTCGAGTTATCATCAGTGTGTTAAGGCTAAATGGAGAAAGAAGATGGTGGCAATTCAGGCTACAGAAAGGCCTTTCGAGACCTATGAAGCTCATTATTTTGATGCCATTTACTTCACCGAATTGTTTGTTGAAGAAAATCCCACCACCTCTAAGCCTCGGGGGGTCAAAATTCCTCGTTGGGAGGATATCAAAGATGACAATGAGCCAAAGGCAGAATCAAGTAAACGGATGACGTCTCGAGCAGAAAGTCCGCCTATTCCTCGGAAGGTGATGAAAGTTCGAGAAGGGGGCAAGATGGTGTACTATTTGTGAAGGTGCGGGGAGTCGATTTCTTTAGCGACCGACTCCAAGTCAAAAGAAGAGCCTCCTGACAATGACATAGTAATAAAGCCTGAAGTGGTTCTAGAATGAATGCAAGATGGGTCGAAGCCTCAACCCAAATAACTTATTGAAGTAGATCTGAGTGATGGACAAAATGCTCCAAGGCCGATATTCATAAGTTCGAGCCTTAGCCTAGAAAACGGGAGCAGTTATTAAAATTGATTAGCCGGTACTCAGATGTGTTTGCTTGGTCATATAAGGAAATGCCCAGACTAGATCCTGACCTAGTCTCCCATTATCTTGATGTGTTCCCAAACTCCAAACCAATCAAGCAAGCTGCTCGAAAAATATCATCCATATCTCAAAGAGAAAATTAAGAAGGAGATTGAAAAACTTCAACAGACAGGTTTCATCCGGCCAATACAGTACCCCACGTGGTTGGCAAACATTGTACCAGTGAAGAAGAAGAATGGACAAATCAAAGTATGTGTAGACTTTCGAGATTTGAACAAATCTTGCCTGAAAGATGAATTCCCTTTACCTCACATTGACACTTTTGTGGATGCCACCTCAGGACACCAGATGTTCTCATTCATGGATGGATTCAGTGGATACAATCAGATTAAGATGGCCGAAGAGGACGCAAAAAAGACTGCTTTTAAAACACCTCTCGAAAACTTCTTTTATACAGTCATGCCTTTCGGACTCAAGAATGCCGGAGCAACTTACCAAAGGGCTATGACTGCAATCTTTCATGATATGATCCATCATGAGGTGGAAGATTATGTTGATGATCTAGTGGTGAAATCCAAGAAAAAAGAGGATCATCTCCGAGACCTTGAGAAAGTATTTAAGAGGTGCCAGAAATTCAAAATAAGGATGAATCCTCTCAAATGTGCTTCCGGGGTGACGGCCGGGAAGTTTCTCGGGTTTCTTGTATATAGGCATGGTATCGAGAAAGATGAAGACAAGGTCAAATCTATCAGAGCAATGCCTCCCCCGCATTCAAAGAAGGAGTTTAAAAAGTTCCTCGGGAAGGTGTCTTATATTTAGAGGTTTATCCTAGCATTTGCAGAAATCTCTGCCCCCTTCAGCTCTTTGTTAAAGGGAAATACTGGGTTTGAGTGGAACCAAGAGCACCAAAAAGAGAGAATCAAGGCGGCCTTGACCTCGCCTCAAACCATGATAGCCCTGCAGCCCGGGGTGCCTCTAATGTTGTACCTAACCTCAACTCCCAAGTCTATAGGGGCATTATTGGTCCAAGATGTAGATGGGGTAGAATGCCCGATGTATTACCTCAGCCAGGAGATTCGAGGAGCAGAAGTCCGATATACTCCGGTAGAAAGACATTGTTTAGCTTTGGTATTCACCGCCTAAAAGCTCAGACATTACTTCTTAGCACATCTGATTCAGATTGTTACCAGAAGTGATCCAATTCGATACCTCCTCAACAAGCTTGCTCTAATCGGGAAGGTGGTAAGATGGTTTTTAGCACTGAGTGAATTCGAGATCACATGTGTAGCTCCCAAGGCGATCAAAAGCCAAGCCTTATCCGATCTCTTTGCCCCATTTCCAAGTGGTAACTATAAACTAGTGAATGAAGAATTAAGAGGAGAAGTGCATACAATCATGGTTTCCAAAGAAAACTTTTGGACATTGAGCTTTGACGGGGCAGCAGCCAAAGTGAAATGTGGAACCGGGATAGTCCTTACAAGCAAAAGTGGAGAAAAATTATATTTGTCCTATAAACTGGACTTCCATTGTTCGAATAATGAAGCCGAGTATGAGGCTCTTATTTTGGACTTGATAGCAGCTAACAAGCACAGTATTAGGAAGATTCGAATTTAGGGGGACTCGAAGCTGATAGTGAAAAAAGTTTTGTGACAGTTCGTCTTAAAAGAGCCTGCCTTGGCCACATACCGCACGACAGTCCAAAGGCTTGTTGAAAAATTTCAGAATGTCAAAATAGAGCATGTGCCTCGCTCTAACAACAATTTTTCAGATGCCCTCACAACATTAGGGGTAAGAGTTGACATTCCCGAGGATGAGGCGACAATCGTTATCAAGAAGAGAACATAGCCTTCAATAATACCCGAGGACAAAGACCTTCCGGAGGACTGGAGAGGAGAAGTCCTCGAACAACTCAGAAGCAAAGTTAGAAAATTGGCAATGGTCAAGCTTGCCCAATTCATAATTATTCAAGGTGAACTTTACTTCCGACGAAGTACCGGATTCCTAGCCTGGTGTGTTGGCTAACAAGAAGCAAGCTTCTGACTACAACAGATTCATGAAAAGTCCTGCGAGGATGGGGATATTAGTCTGTACAGAAGGATCCAAAGACAAGGCTATTATTGGCCCGAGATGGAGAAGGCCTCGAATCAACTACAGAAAGAATGCCCTAAATGTCAGTCATACATCTGGGAGGATAAGGGTTGCTTTGAAATTGATACCCCTAACTGGAGACAAGTCTGCATTGACTATCTCAATGAGGAGACAGTACCTAAGAGCCCGAGGGACATTGTACACCTCAAGAGGAAAACGAGGCGATACTTTCTTGATTAGAACAAGCTTTACCGAAGAAGCATTGAGGGCACTCCCTTTAGGTGTCTCTCCACGGAGGAGTCGGATCTAGTCCTTGGAAGAGCCCATAAAATTGAGCATCAAGGAGGGGCTTGACTGTTCAAACAACTTATACACCTTGGGAATTATTGGCTGACCATGGAGTCAGATGCGTCTTATCACGTGAAGAGGTTCCAGACTTGTTAGAAACACGAAAATTTGATCCATACGCTGGCCGTATATCTGCACAGCATCCGAACGCCATGGTCATTCCATACTTAGGCTTTTGACCTGATAGGGCCTATCTTTTCACCATCCAAAGGGTATAAGTGGATCCTTGTAGCTATGGAGTTGAGCATAAAATGGGTCAAGGCAATCCCTTTGAAGAATGCTACTGGGTCCGCAATTGCGAACGTTATCAAGGAAAATATCATTGCCAGTTTGGAGTACCGAACATCATCCTTTTGGACAATGGCACACCCTTCAAAAACAAATATGTGAAGAGCTTCCTAGAGACTTACCAAGTGAAGTATCACAAATCCACACCCTATTATCCAAAAGGGAACGGGCAAGCGGAGGCCACAAACAAGACACTGATAAGGATTCTGAGCAAGATAATGGATGAATTTGGTGGGACTTGGTCCGAGCAGTTGATAGTAGCCCAATGGGCATATCGCACCTCAAAGAGAAAGCCAACTCGAGCAACTCCTTACTCCTTTGTGTATGGGTCCCAGGCAATGTTACTTATAGAGTTGGAAACACTATCTGCTCGGATGGCTCTTGCCTTGGGGATAGTGTTGGAGCCTCGAACCACCAGATTAGAGACATTAGAGGAAAAGCACGACAGAGCTGCAAAAGTCATGGAAAGGTATCATGAGTCCATCACCCGAGCCTATAACGAGACTGTGGTGCCAAGAAAGTTCGAAGAAGGTGATCTAGTATGGAAGATCGTAGACCCAATCATGCGAGGACAACCCTTGCCCAAGTTTTTTTCGAAATGAGAAGGGCCCTACAGGGTGGTTCAAGCAAGCTCAAACAGGTACTACAAGCTTGTAGGGGTTGAAGATGGCTTCCAAATTGGCCCGCTCAATGCAAAGTTTATCAAGCATTACTACCCATAGATAGACTCATCTATGTTGAAACTCATTTTCATTTTCTTGCTTTGTCTAAAAGTTGTATCTCCCTTATGTTATGAAGAAGCTGGTTTCCTTTATGGTGTATGCTTGTTCCATCACTTGTGGTGAATATATTATACTTTTGTCAAGAAAGTTGAAGAATTAATGAGAATATTTCAGCTTTTATGAACATGTGAATGTGATTGTTCTTTCCATTGTATCATTCGAAATAAATATTTTATCAAGTAGAATGAGAAAATAGTGCAAAAACTCCAATCAATAAAGATTTTATCATTTCATTGCATTGTCCTAGATAAAACATATTTATCGAAAGGGGAAAGAAAATAATTTAAAAAAAAAAAAAACTCAATCTCCTCTAAAAACACCCTCAAAGATGTTACCCTTCACATCTACATCCTGTGGACAAGCAGTAGAGTGTGCCTATAAAGCCTCAAAGGCCTAAGCATAGCCCGACACAAGTTCATGAAGAGTTGCCTTTGTCTCATCTATAGAGGTCCGATAAGAGGTGAGCACAGACAAAACTTCTACCCATTGTAGACCGCCCGAACTCTCTCTGTGCGCCCCCCTTTCGGAGAGGGCGCGAATTGGGTTCATAGCTACTATAGTTTGAACTCCTGTCACGGTTCTGAATCTAATCTCACAAAGTGCAATGTAAGTTTGATAAATCACCAAAGAGTCCAAATCCGGCAAATCGTTTTGGAAAATCTATTTTAATCAAAAAGCGCCAAACATGGACTGCTTTGCCAAATTTTAGAGTCGCCACCTAATTATTTTGTTTTGGGAAATTTAGGAAATCCTGACTCGTGCCAAAGGCCACGTGTCCGTCATCACCAAAGTTGCCTCGGCTCGGGAACTTGGGTGCAAGGGGGGAAGGTCATGAAATGAGCAGCCCCGCTCGATCGGCCTCTACTAAACATGATATGTTATTTTGAAAACACATATGTTCTTTTTCTGGTTTATTAGCTAATCTTACTATGTGATGCACACAACATACAAATATAGACTAAATCGCTCGATTTGGAACAAAACATCTCATGTTTTGTTTTTTCGAAAAAGGTTTGAAGATGTTACTTGCAAGTAGGCTAAGACTCGGATTTGCCACCAAACAAGGTGGGCTTAAAACATGATGATTTGCCACTCCGAGTGGGCTTAAAACTCACATTTTGATGAATTGTCCCAATTCAAGAAATCAAGCCTTCATCCGCAAGCATTCAAGCAGTTAAACACTTAAGCAAATAGCCTCATGGCAAGCATGCTGTCATGGCAACACTTACACACATACAAGGATGCTAAAGCGTAAACACTTACAGTGTACTCCAAGCCAAAACAGAAGCTAGTTAGAAATCATGCACGATCCTAGCTATGTTAAGATGCCTAATGCAACACATGCAAAAATGCAACTAAAATAGGCTCGGCTATCTAGAATGACATATGAATGCAACACTTGATAACATGCTTTGAAACACGTATTCAAGAAAGTGTATTAAAATACAATGCAGTTTGAATGATGCGCCGAGTCCGGTGCATGCAAGACAAATGAATGATGCACGCATGTAAAGCATGAGTATGCTAATTGAAACATGCCCTAAAACTAACCATTAAAAGCTGGTAAATAAAAGGGAGAAAGAAGTGGGGTTGGAAGACATGCATACACACATGCACCCTTATTATAACACTGTGCCCTCTCGACGGAGGGTCCGAATGAAAGAGAGCTAACTAGCTACACTAATTAAACTAACTATTACAAATCACAACTAATCAACTAATTAGTTAACTAATTACAAACACAAATGAATAGCTAAAGCATTAACTATCTAAGTATAGAATCGATAGGTTAACCATCTAAGCAATGCAGTTAAAAGGAGCCTTGGAGCGAGGAATGCATGCATGCCCGGTTGTTTCTTCCCGAAATCCCGTCACCTTGCCACCGGTTGCCTCTGTTTGCATTTGCTTTGATTCTGAACACCAAACAAATCTTCAGGTTGTTTCTGCTCCAGAACCAGAAGAACTTTGAACCATCTTCAAGCTGGTGGACTATCGGCCACCAGGGGAGGCTGTAGGCCACTTGTCGGCCATTTAAGGAGGTTGTAGGCCACTTCCTCTGGCCGGTCGGCAAGTTGCTTCTGCACACTTCCATTTTGCTGCAAACAGAGTTCAACAAGGGCAAAGCAAGGCATTTGCAGGGTATGTATGTACAACCACCCTCCTTATCATTTCTCAAGCTCAAAGGAGTGCGGTACTCGACTCTCGGGCCTCCAACCGAGCATCACAATGCACGATGGCCGAGAAGCCAAGTTTGTACAAGTTGATGAATGCACAAGTAACACACAAGACTCAAGAGGCCTCCACCCTATCATGCACAATCAAGGGTGTCGGCGACTAAGAAACGAGGTGCGTTTCATCACTTTGAGTATGAAACGCCCCTCATTTCTCATGTTTGGATTAACGTCCGATCCAAACACATGCAATGCATCATACATGCAAACAACATGCTTATCTATCAATGCTAGAGTGGCATGCACGAGGCTCTATCATATAAGCAATGCATGCATGGCATGTTTAGAAGCTAAGGCATCAAAGCTAGTGAAGTGTTTTACACATGGGGCATGCACTACAATGCTCAAATGGTCAAACCAACTATGGACAGACCTAAGATATCTCAAAACAGTGGCCAAAACACATTAAGACTTAGGCACAAAAAGGCAAGAAATGCATGCTCATTCATTTGCTCGCAAGCGAGGCATAAAGCTTAACTTTCAAACACATTGAAAGGGGGACATATATGAAAGCATGACAGAGGTACTAGCACTGAAATCATATGCCAAATGATGACATATCATGCAAACAACACAAGTATAGCATGCTAGAAGACTCAAGCATTAAAGCTAGTGAGGTACACAACACTAGGACTATGCAATACAATACTCAATGGACTAAACCAGCCCTAAACAGACCTAAGGTAGGTCAAAACAGTACCAAAAACATGCTAGACTCGCAGCATAGATGGCAAGAAATATATGCTCATGTATTAGCTCACAAACAAGGCATAAAGGCACAGCTCTTAAACACAATGAAAGAGTGATAATCATGAGAGTATGACAGCAGTTTATGCTCTGAATTTACATGCCAAATGATGCTATATCACACAAATGTCACAAATGAGGCATGCTAGGGGTCCCAAGACACAAGACTAGCAAAGGCCATTACACTATGGCCATACAAGGCCATCCTCAAAGGGCCAAGATCATTCCAAACAGAGTCTAAGCAAGCCAAAACAAGGCTAAGAACCTACTGAAGCAGAGCTAAAACAAGCTAGAATTAGAGGTACAAAGCATGATGCATGTTAAGGCTATAAGGAGGATTGCACTACAAGTGTGTGAAGCATGAAAGAGGCAATCAAACCAACCCAAAACAGAGTTATATCATGTTAAAATATGGCCTAAAACATACTAAGATAGAGCCTCAAGAAGGTAGAAAAACATGCCAAAGTGTTAAGCCAACAACACATGCAAACAAAGCACAAAGCGGGGGGGGACCACCCCCATCCATTTTGGGTCTCAAAACCCACTTTCCACCACTGAAATTCCTTTGAAATTCAGTGGTGAAAAGGCCAAACAAAGGTGATCTCAAAGGCCTCAAAGGATAGCTCAAAGCAAAGCAAAATAAGACACGAAGGAGGTAGACCACCCCTAACTCAAACAAGGCCTCAAACAAACATCTTAAACACTTAAAAACAAAATTTTTTGTAGTTGAAAGCTTGGCCTAAAACAGCATGCAAAGATGGCCAAATGCTTAAACAAAACAAAGCTTTAAAAGGGGCTAGTCTCTTACCCTTGAAAAACTAAGGCAAGACAGCAACTTCAGCAACAATCTTGGACCAAAACCAATGCCAAGACCTCAAAACAAGCTCCAAGGGACCTCAACTCCAAAATGAAGGTGTTTGTGTGCAAAAGTGTGAAGAAACAACACTTTAAGGCTCAATATATATATATGTGACGCCCCAAATTTTGATAACATAATACAACGATACAACGGGGCTTAACTAGTGGCTCCACATCATTTTTAAGCACAAAATACAAATAATTGTACTAAAAGAAAATATTAGTAATAGTTACAGATAAAATTCTTCAAGTCTTTAAATACAGATCGGTTTCTTGATACAAAAAGATTATCCAAAATACAGGAAATATACAACCATGGGTCCTCAAAGCTTTTAGGGATTCTGCTCTCAGTGTAAAACTCGCCTTCACCTGGCATAAAACGCCATGAGCTTGGAATGCCCAGTAAACACACACACCCCAACCCTTTTCCCATTCCAAATACACAATTAACATAACAGCATGGTCATAACATACAACGAAAGTAATAATCAAGCAGAGATTATAATTAAATTTCAGTTCTCATGAATAATAGTCAATTTTAGTTAGTTCTAGGCAACTCCCCGCGGAATGCCGTTCCTACCCAACCACTAACTCTGGCCACGGGCAATTCTGACTCCCCCTTGGTTAATACAATACCAATGCGTCGCTTACCGCACAATTACCAATGATGCCCACGCACCTAGGTTACCTACCCAAGTGGTGACATCACGGTCTGCCCCAAGGAAACGGGCTTCCAGGGATACTCTCCCTGTGTGAGACCCTCACTGCCACCCTTATGCCTCCCATTTCCGTTAAGCAGCCAGAATACCTCCCGTGCCATGTTAGGGTTCGAAAACACACTTGCGCAAGACTTCACAAAAATGGAACACATTCCACTATATCATACTCTTCAATCCATCGTTCATTATCTCATAAAATCAAATACAATGATCGCAACCCATTACCATCCCATTTGATTTCCCCTTTATTAAGTGTATCATGTTC